TTCCCCCATCCAATTTCATCAAGAACTACCCAAAATAGTTCATTAATCCCACATACTATGGCTTAGTGTCACATGCACGGCCTGTTTCTAAACCCACAATATATTTTTGAACTCATAATTTCATATATGAAATATTAGAAGTAGGACTTACCCGGAAAATAGTGAGCTAGAGATTAGCATGCTTGATTCTTGAGGGTTTGTGCAAGATTGATGATTAGGAGGCTAGGTTCCCTCTTTCTCTCTCTAAAATGCTCTCACCCAAACTTATGTCTGCTGAAAGGATACAGTTATGCGATGCGTTATGCGATCGCATATCCATTATGCAGTTCGCATAACTATCGCAAAAACTATTTGCTTTGAAAGATCATCACACTATGCGATCGCAAAATCCACCGCAAAGATGGATTTGCGATCGCAAATCGGCCGCAAACAACACGTTACAAAAAGCCAGAAACTGTTGAAGTATGCGGTGGATTTGCGGTGGGCATATCACTTATGCGATCGCAAAGCCTCCGCAATTTGTCATCTTCCTCAAGTCACCTAGGGTTTATTATGCGGCAACAATGCGGACCGCAAATCGACTATGCGGTCCGCAAAAGTCTTCGTCATCATGGTTTTGAACTCCACCCTCTACAATGGTGACCCTAATGTCACTACCCAGCACCCTAGGCCTAACTAATTATCCAAGAAACCCCCTATTACGAGCAGCTACCCAAATAACGAAGAGGAAGAACAAAAACACACTAAGAGAAACTAATAAAACAGAAAAAACACACAACAAAATTTAAACTAAACTTAACAGGGATGAAATCGGGAAGGGAGAACATACCGGGAGTGGATGATTGAGAACACTTAAGAGATGAATTCAGCAATTTGGGATCGTTGTTCACTCGTTCAATTTCAACTCGCCGTTTTCCTTTCTCCTTTTTCTTTTTGTTTTTTTTTTCTTTCTAATTTTTTTGTTGTCTTCTTTAAACAGGAAGTGAGTGTGTCTGAACGCTGGTGGGTTTTGATGTGCGAAGGGGTAGGAAGACTTACCTGTGAAATTGCGGTGGATAATTCACCGCATAACACCTTATGCGACCGCATAAGTGTTATGCGGTGGTTTTAACTCGAGTTGCTTATCGACACAATGCGGTGCACTTGTGCGATCGCATAACTGATATGCAGTCCGCAAAGTGCATGTCCCCACCATATTTCTACCATCAATATTGCTGAGACACTGCCCAGGTTCGACCACTATGTGGTCCGCATATTCAAAATGTGACTGTATATGTGTAGCAGACTTCCCATGGTGACTTTTCTTCTCTTTCACTCGTAATTTTATCATGTGTTATGATCTTTTGAATCACCTACACTCTAACACACACTTTAAATTGCTCAATAAAACCTATCTAACAAAAGTTAAAATTTAAAGGACAAAAAGGATTTTACCACACATGGGTTGCCTCCCATGAAGTGCTTGATTTAACGTCGCGGCACGACGAAGTTGGCCTTTCTTTGGATTTATTCATTAGTCGGGCACAGACCATCTTTGAGAGCCAACTATTCCACCAAGTGTTTTTCTCCATCTGTGCCCAAGTAGTGCTTGACTCGTTGGCCATTTACTTTGAAGGTTCGGAGCCCATCCTCCGATTCTAATTCCACAGCTCCAAAAGGGGATACATCTATCACCTTGAATGGACCGGACCACTTTGATTTGAGCTTGCCAGCAAACAATTGGAGCCTTGAGTTGAAGAGCAAAACCAAGTCACCCGACTTGAACTCCCTTTTCAAGAATCTTTTTGTCGTGGACGAACTTCATCCTTTCTTTGTACACAGCTACACTTTCTTATGCATGGAAACGGAATTCCTCCATTTCATTGAGTTGTGTTAACCTCAAATTTGTAGCTTCAGCCCAGTCCAAGTTCAACCTTTTTAAAGCCCACATGGCTATGTGCTCCAGTTCTACGGGTAGATGACAAGCCTTGCCGAAGACTAACCGAAAAGGAGATGTGCCAATAGGAGTTTTGTACGCCGTGTGGTATGCCCACAACACGTCATCTAGCTTTCTTGACCAGTCGGTCCTGTTTGCATTAACATCTTTTCCTAGAATATTCTTTATCTCCCGGTTGGAAACCTCAACTTGGCCACTTGATTGGGGATGATAAGGTGTGGTCACCTTATACTTGACGCCATATTTCTCTAGTAGCCCCGTGAAAGCTTGTTACAGAAGTGAGACCCACCATCACTAAGAATGGCTCTAGGAGTGCCAAACCGCGTGAATATGTTGTTCTTTAAGAATGTGATCACACTCCTTGCCTCATTGTTTGGTACGGAAATTGCTTCAACCCATTTGGACACATAGTCCACAGCCAACAAGATATATTTCATACCACATGAGATTACAAAGGGGCCCATAAAATCAATTCCCCACACATCAAAGATCTCGATCTCCATCACAATGTGCATTGGCATTTCATGCCTCTTGGAGATTAATCCTTGCCTTTGACATTGATCGCAAGCCTTGACCATTTGATTGGCATCATGATAAATCGACGGCCAATAATAACCACATTCAAGCACCTTTGCCGCCGTTCGATTACCCCCATGGTGACCCCTGACCGGTGAGTCGTGGCATGCCTTTAGAATTGGCATAATCTCCTCTTCTGAAACACACCTTCTGATGATGTTATCAGCACAAACACAGAACAAGAAAGGTTCTTCCCAATAGTATTGCCGACAATATCTCAAAAACTTCTCTTCTGATAAGCTTCCAATCCATCTGGAGTAAGGTCGCTAACCAAGTAGTTAGCAATATGGGCGTACCAAGGAGCAAAAGTATTAGATAATGCCAATGTGTGTTCATCCAGGAAAGCATCGTTGATTTCAAGATCTTCCTTTGGTCTCCCTGTCTCTTCAAGCCTTGATAAATGATCCGCCACTTGATTTTCCGTACCTTTTTGATCTTTGACTTCGAAGTCAAATTCTTGCAACAACAGGACCCACCGAATCAACCTAGGATTTGCGTCCTTTTTTGCCATAAGATAGCAAAGAGAAGCATGGTATTGTACACTATCACCCTGGATCTCAACAAATAAGCCCAGAATTTCTCAAAGGCATAGACAATGGCAAGAAGTTCTTGCTCAATCACCGTATAGTTCATTGGCGCGCCATTGAGTGTCTCGCTTGCATAATAGGCCAGGTGGAGAACCTTGTTATGACGTTGGCCAAGCACTGCCCCAATAGCTACACCACTGGCATCACACATGAGTTCGAATGGAAGAGACCAATCGGGTGTGACAATAATAGGTGCCGTGGTGAGCTTTTGTTTTAATTCCTCGAAGGCTTTTAGGCATCGCCAAATACAAACTTTGTATCTTTCTCAAGGAGTTTGCACATGGGATTTGCAATTTTGGAAAAATCCTTGATGAAACGCCTATAGAATCCGGCATGACCCAAGAAACTTCAGACTCCTTTAACTGAAGTAGGTGGAGGAAGCTTGGAAATGATCTCGATCTTTGCCCGGTCAACTTCTATGCCATGTTTGGAAATTTTGTGGCCCAAAACAATGCCCTCGTCCACCATGAAGTGGCATTTTCCCAATTTAGCACAAGGTTTGTTTCTTCACATCTCTTAAGCACTTGTCTAAGGTTGTCTAGACAATGCTCAAAAGAATCACCCACGACCGAGAAATCATCCATGAATACCTTTAAGAAAATCCTCCACCATATCGGAGAATATTGACATCATACACCTTTGGAAAGTGGCCGGAGCGTTGCATAACCCAAATGGCATCCGGCTAAATGCAAACGTCCCATATGGACAAGTGAATGTTGTCTTTTCCTGATCTTCCAATGCAATGTTGATTTGATTGTAGCCGGAGTATCCATCCAAGAAGCAATAGAATGACCTTCCCGCTAGCCGATCAAGCATTTGATCAATAAAAGGCATAGGGAAATTGTCCTTGCACGTAGCACTGTTTAGCTTCCGGTAATCCATACACACCCTCCATCCGGTCACCGTTCTTGTTGGGATGAGCTCGCTCTTCTCATTTTCAATCACGGTCATGTCTCCCTTTTTCGACACATATTGCACCGGGCTCACCTAAGAACTATCGACAATAGGGTATACTACCCCGGCATCCAACCACTTGATGATTTCTTTGTTTACCACTTCTTGCATTGAAGGGTTTAACCTTCGTTGATGCTCCACACATGGTTTACTCTCATTCTCCAATTGGATCTTGTGTTCGCAAATTCCGGCGGGAATCCCCCGGATATCCGCAATTGTCCATCCAATAGCTTGCCTATGCTCCCTCAAGACATTCAACAATTGCTCTACCTGCACATCATTCAACAAAGAAGAGACAATTACCGGTAAAGTATCATTTGAGCCAAGAAATTTATACCTTAAGTGTGGTGGAAGTGGTTTGAGCTCTAGTTGTGGTGGATCAATGATTGAAGGCTTTGCGGGAGGAGTGGCTCTATTCTCCAAGTCGAGAGAGAGCTTCTTCGGAGCATAGGTGTAGGACCCAAGCCCTTCCAATGCATTGACTGATTCCATATACCCCTCCATATCTTCACCTTCAAAGTTTACCAAAATAGCCGCCAACGCTTCACCGAGGCATTGTTCTTCCATCTTCATTTCAACTGCATCTTCCACTTCATCAACAACATAAATCACCGAGATGCTTTCATATGCATGTGGTAGTTTCATACCCTTGCTTGCCTGGAATGTAACCTCTTCATCATTCACATGGAATTTGATCTCATTCCGTTCTGAATCCATTAGTGCTCTTCCTGTGGCGAGGAATGGTCTCCCCAAGATGATAGGATCTCTTTGTCAACTGCACAATCAAGGATTACGAAATCGGCGGGTAGATGGAACTCTCCCACTTTCACAAGCACATCATCAATAAATTCCCACCGGTCTCTTTGTAGAACGATCGGCCATTTGTAACCTCATACTTGTAGGCCTTGGCATACCTAATCCCGCTTGCTTGTAAATAGCAAGAGGCATTAAGTTAATGCTAGCCCCATTATCACAAAGAGCTCTTGCAAAATCACGTGCCCCAATAGTACATGGAATGGTGAAAGCCCCGAGTCTTCTTTCTTTTGAACGGTGGTTGTTTTAATGATGGAACTAACCCGATGAGTCACATTTACCACTTTATTCTTGGTGGTTCTCTTCTTTGAGATCAAGTCCTTCAAATATTTTGCAAAACCCGACATCTCTTGAAATGCTTCCACGAATTGAATGTTTACCGATAACTACTTGAGAATGTCATAGAACTTTTCGAGTTTGCTATCATCAACCTTCCTCGCAAGTCTTTGAGGAAAAGGAGGAGGAGGTCTAGGAATAGGTAGTAGAGCTTTTGGTGTCTCTTTTACCTTTTCCTTTACCTCTTCCTGATTCATTTCTTGAAATTTCAACTCTTCCGGAACCTTTTCAATTTCAACAACCTTTGGCTCTTCAACTTCAACCTCTTGTTCGGACTCTTCTACTTCAACCACTTGTTCGCTCTCTCCTTGTAGTACCTTCCCACTCCGAGTAGTAATTGCCATGATGTGAGAAGTTGGACCACTTCCACTACCCTTTGGGTTCGCAATTGTGTCACTAGGAAGTGTTCCCTTTTGCTTTGGATTTTGTTCCCTAGAAAGGTCTCTCATTTGCATCTCCAATTTTTGAATGGACGTGGTATGAGAACCCACAAGCTCGGTCATATTCCTTATAGAAATGTCAGACCTCTCTTGATTTTGCAATACCCATTCAAGCATGCTTTCCAACTTAGAATCACTTGAGGACCCTTGATTTGAATATTGACCCTTTGGTGGAACATAAAGGTTTGAACTCCGATTTGAGAAGTTGTTGTTGTTGTTATTCCAATTTCCTAGATTTGAGCTACCTCGATCATTTCGCCACTGTTGGTTGCCTTGCCCTTGCGGGTTAGGCCTCCATTGATTTTGTTGTACTTGACCTTGGTATTGTTGCCTTTGATACCCTCCTTGAGAGTTGTTGACATAGTTTGCTTCCTCAAAGTCTTCATTTGATATGGGTTGCAGATCCTCCACCACATTTACCTTCTTCGTTTGGCTTTCAGTGAACATCTTTGTCAACACATTGACATTGGTGGCAAGCCCTGCGATTACTTGATCTCTCTCTTGATTCTCCCTAATCATGTTGGTCAAGGAGGGAGAACCATATGCAATTCCCCCGGTGGTGTCCTCTGAGTGCCAAGCTTGATTGTGCTGTGCTATTTTGTGAAGGATTTGTGTGATCCTTGCGAATGTCTTGTCCATAAAAGATCCATCAGCTACATTCTTGGCTATAGATTGGTTCATAGCATCTAAACCCATGTAGAATTTATCCAACAAGATAGAGTCTGGAAAACCATGATTGGGTGACCTCCCCAAGTATAACTTGAATCGATCCCATGCTTCATGTAGATGTTCTCCCGGTAGTTGCTTGAAGAAGAAAATTTTATCCCGAAGCTCAGATTTCTTGCTTTGCGGGAACCATTTAGCTAAGAATGCTCGTACAAGTTCAGGCCAAGAATGAATGGAATTTGGTGGCAAGTTTTGAAGCCACTTTCTTGCGTCCCCAGCTAATGAGTACTTGAACACCCTCAACCTTAGGGCATCATCTAAGTCGTTGTTCTGCTTATGCATAACACACACACCCAAGAAGTTTCTAAGATGTTATGTCAGATCATCATTAGTGGAATTCCTGAAAAACCCCTCTGCTTTGAGCATTAGGATTAAACTATGTTCCACTTTGAATGTTGAAGCACCAACAACCGCAGGTACAATAGCATTTGTATCCTCAATGTACTCATTTATGTCCGCAAAAGGATTTTCATCCATTTCTTCCTCATATTCGGCCAGGTCTTCCTATCAACACCAAGCAAAACAAGCAAAGTGTGATGGAATAGAAAAAGACGTAAACTAAAGCACACACTAATTAGTAATTTCAAAATCGTATTCCCCGGCAACGGTGCCAAAATTTGATACGCTCAAATTATACTTTAATTAAGTAGTGTAAGGCGATCGGTGTCAAATATAATAACCCAACAAGGTTGGGGTCGAATCCCACAGGGAATAGGCGTGAAAAGGTTACTCGAGTAGTGTGCTACTTGACTTAAGTCGTAATTCTATTCTGTTAATTGTAACAAGAGTATGATATGATTGTGATTTGAAGAGATAACTAATTTTAACATTGAGAATGTAAATAATTTGATTAAGGAAACGAAGGTTGTGTCCCCTTCTATGAAATGTAATGCTATCAGTGTTAATATAATATATTTCTAATGGAACTTTAGATATGCAAATGATTTCTAAATGACTACCCAATATTTTCCAATAGTTGGGAAGTATTTCCTGTTTATGATTTTTTCAAATATAAAAGAGTTACAATTAAGAGCAATCAATTTATGCCAAATAAAATCCACTTATTCCTAAGCGGTTCTATTAAACAAGGTTTAAAGCCTTGAGTCTTTGATATTTACTTCTACCAAACTCTAACTCACTTTCCAAGTAAAGAAAGAGTTTAATGGCACTTGTTAATGTTTGCAACCACCAACAATAAATGAAGAATGAGAAATAAATATATATCAACCTACCATTATATATATATATATATATATATATATATATATATATATATATATATATATATATATATATATATATATATATATTCAATGTGAAACACCCATTAACATAACACCCATTTAGGGTCCACAACCTTAGTATTTAAAGCTAGCTACTCATGCTAAAATACAAAAAGATGAGAATATTAAATTCCATAAAGCTTACAAAGTACAAGATTCTTCACTCCCAAAAGCTTCCAAAAGAGAGGAATATTCAAAGATTGGAATGTAGCTTAAAAACTAGACAAGCTGCCCGCACAAAACCCCAATAAATCTATTTATAGTGGGCTAAAACTCGGGACCAATTTCGGACAAAAATGCCTCTCTAGGTCAATTATGCGACCGCATTCCTGTCGCCTAACAGATATGCGGTCCGAATTCTTGTCACAACCATCGAATCTTCGAAACCCTAATACCCAGGTAGTCATCGCATTTTGGTTATGCGGTCCGCATTATTTTTACAATCGCATTTGTCACCGCATTTCAGACATCAGCAACTTCTACAGCGGGTTTGCGATCCATTATGCGGCCCGCAAACCTGTTATGCGGTCGCACAATAGACCGCATTTCTTGCACTTGAATTTGGCTAAACAGACTATTGGGCTTTGTGGTCTCTTTGAGCATTATACGGTCCGCGATCGCATTTTGCCTTTTTCATGTCCTTTTTCGGCTTTTTGATTTTGTTTCCATGTTCTTGGGTCCGTAAGCTTCATATACTGCAAAACATTAAAATTACATAAGTATAACAAATAATTGCATTTAAAACGAGCTAAAATCTAAGCAATTGGTATTTAAATGTGCTGAAATTCCCCGGCACATCAGGAAGTTAGGCTCCAGGAAACCGGCAACATCCTCACCAGTCCCGAGGTGGTACCCGACCTCGAGGACCTCCATCGAAATGAAGTTAGGCTCTAAGGAGCCAATGGCATCACCGCAAGTCCCGAGGTGTTACCCGACCTCGAGGACCTCCATCAAAAAGAAGTTCGGCTCTAAGGAGCCAACGACATCACCGTAAGTCCCGAGGTGGTACCCGACCTCGAGGACCTCCATCAAAAAGAAGTTAGGCTCTAAGGAGCCAACAACATCACCGCAAGTCCCGAGGTGGTACCCGACCTCGAGGACCTCCATCAAAGGGAAGTTAGGCTCCAAGAGGCCAACGTAATCATCAACAGTCTCGAGGTGGTACCCGACCTCGAGGACCTCCATCAAAGGCAAAGGGTTCCGCAGGGAGCCGTATTAATCAATCAAAGGCAAAGGGTTCCGCATGGAGCCATATTAATCAATCAAAGGTCAAAGAAATATACTTCCACCTAGGCTCGATATCGACACCGACCGGTGGGGTTATGCATTTAGAGTTTCCACCAGGGCAAGTAAAAGGTAACATAGCAAACATCAGAGACAAAATTGGGGAAACATCTTTGTATTTATAAACACTTGATTACAAAAGCCCACGAAGGGGTCCTTACATATGGTTACAAAAGCCCACAAAGGGTCCTTGAAACAAAGAAACAAAAAGGTGTACAGATGTGATTATAGCTCAGAGCCTAGCCTATTCTCCAGGGAGCACCCTCGGCGGCAGTATACTCAAGCATCCCTTCCTCAACGTTCTCATCTCGGTCTCCCAAAGTAGCATCTTAAAAGGAGAAGATGAAGTAGAGGAAAGTGGGAAGACCAGAAAGGGATGAAAAAACGCCATAGCCCGCGAAAGAGTTAAGGCTTTACCCAGGCCAGGAAGATCATGGCCCGGTAGAAGACTTGGCGGGCGTCGGTCTAGCCTGCACGGCTACTTTGAGTCCACTTCTTGGGACATTGTGCCGTGCAAGCTATCGACCAGAGGTACCACTTCACCCCACGGAAAGCAAAAGGGGTGAAGTGTCACACCAGGCCGGGGTAGGAGGGTGAGCAGCAGTGTATAGTCCGAACGCCCTCATGAGCAGTGGTGTATAGTCCAAACACCTTCCCAAGACGGAAGAGATCAGCCTCTCTGTCTTGCCATCTCGAGACAACAACGGCAACAGTAATAACAACAACAACAAGTCGGTGTAATCTCGCTCGGAAAGAGAAAGCCCTAGGAAAGGGCCGCAGCATGACAGATGAAAACGCCGCCATACGGCCCTAAGACCGCAGGGCTCAAACATGGAAAATAACAATGGATAGGGATAAAGAGAAGAGAAAGGCGAAAGACTAATCTGACAACACTAGAATAAAGAAGTGGTTCCAGGAGGTGCCCTTTTATAGGGGATGGCAGCGTAACCGGCGGCCCCATTGATGTCCTTGAAAGACGTATCGGCAAATGCAATCAATGCGTTAAAAATGGACTGACGACGATATTATTGTTCTAAAGACTAAAGGTCGACGGTGCAGTGAATAATTCTAGAATGGTGGACTGACGGGACATCCCAGTTATCACAAGGGCTTACACCATAAATATGATATTATCACCGAAAATTCGGAAAGATGGTTGTCCAAATCGTTTCTTATCGCTCCTCTCTAAGAAATGCGGGGACTATCTGTATACGGTGAAATTAGATGGTCCAATTTCTCGTCATTAAGGCACTCGAAAGATCACCTCGAAGGCTCGAGGCCACGGCCGAGTATCTTTCCTCGAGGGTCGACAACACTCAACCCCAGGGTAGTAATGATCATGGTAATGGTGGAAATGGGGAGTTCCCAAGACACGCGGCTAGGTCTGACATAGTCTAGCGGGCTACTCTGAACCCAAATCAGGGCATCATTCAGTCGTCCCATCCCCATATATATGTAATTAATGTATTTTTTACTATGTGGGAATTTCCCTCCTATATAAAGGGAATCCTTGTTATTTTGTAAGGATCTGTTGCTTCAGCTGCTCCACAAGAAATATAAAACAACATTCTCTCTGCTCTCTTACATATTCTCTTAATATTATTGCTCCCTTTTATTAACTTCATTATTGTTCATCATTTATTGCTTATCATCGGCCATAAAGAGCCTTCTTTGATTTTATTATAACTGTTAGTCATACTTCGATTACCTTCAATAGCTCACCGTCGAGCCCCGGAATCGACCTCGAGGCCCCCGAATCGACAAGCTCGAGGCCCGATTGTTAACATATCGGTTTGACCATCACCTTATCCTTAATTCTTATTTCGTTCCTAAGTCTCACATACATAGCATCAACTGATTAACAACCACCATATAAATAGATCACGTATATTTAGAGTCCCATAATCAAATTTAATTGTGGTTACCATTCTCACGGTAAACAAGAGAATATATGCATCATGAGAGAAAGGAGAGAATATATATAGAATAAGGAAAAAGAAGAAAATATTGTCAGTTATTGCAAACCAAATGTCTAAAAATCATGCAAATAGCTCAAGTAAACTCCACCTCCTATCAACTGGTGCCACTGAAGTTGCTAGTGCTGCTTGATCTGCTGGTGCTGGTGGATCTGACTCCATCAGCATGTCAAATGGATGATCACCAACTGCTGCTATCTTGGTCACCTCTTTCCGCACCTGTCAATTGATTTCTTGGACGCCTCGGATTTCCTCATTTTCTTTACTTGCTTTCCTAGCTCCTCAATCATTACTCCATGTGCTACCAAGGTGTTTATTATGGTAGTCTGGTTCTCCAAGTGCTTCTTCAATGTTTCCTCCACTGTCGCAGGAACCTGGGGTGCCGGAATGGATGACTGTGCTACAACAGTACTGGATATGTCAGACAACTTTGTAGTAGCTGTCTGCATGCAGTTGTTGAGGCTCGCCAGTGTTTGGGAGACTCGCAGCACAGATAGTAGATGAGTGGGAACATGCACTGGCTTCAAAGTCGAGGAGGAACCTGGAATAGGTGCTGCTGAAGGACATGAAGAAGGAGGTGGAGGAATATCTGCTGCACTATCTGAAGGCTCTGTTGAAGTAGATTACACGTCAACTGTCTCAGCAGCTACACCGGCGGGCTCGTCAGACTAGCCTGCAGTAGTAGGGGGCTGACCCTTCTTCTTTGGGTTTCCACCACCCATTAAAGAACACCAGGAGA